GGAGCCAGTGAAGAAACGAATCGCCACAGCATTTTCTCATATTTACCCTTGATGTCATATGATCAAGGTACTAATTAGCGATTTTCTCGTTGATGACTCTGTCAAAAGTTAAAAGTAAGATGTGCAACCGATAGAGCATGAAAAGTTCTACTTGGTGTCGCGAGTAATAGAGTTCGAACCAGTGTAGAAACGAATCGCGACGGGGTTTTCCGGAAATGCCGAAGTTGGCTGTCGGTTTTTGACTATAATCCCGGGGTTTGTCCTTGATAGTGTGATAAATTTTTGGAGCGACAGCTGGAACAGAAAGCGCTTGTCCAGTGGTGCTTGGAGCCAACGGAAGCAGAATTGGAACCAGCCTGTGGGCGAATCCTTTCAGGAATTGCTCGAATCCTGACTAGGATATCCTACGTCCTTTTTGTACACATGCAAAAGCAGTTTTATCTTAATTTATTAACCTACAGAGAGTGAGTTTCACTGTAACAGTGAATACCAGTTGCTTTTCTAGAAGAGACACAACCTTCCCACCTAAAGTAACTGTGTTACTGACAATCAACCTAAATCTTGAAGAATTTTTTTGTTGCAATGTACCACGCATGCAACCTGACACTGCTAGCACCATCTAATATTGAATTAGGGATAGCATATTCAACAACAAAGCGAATATGGAGAACAAACCGTTTGCTACACCGTCCGTGATTTTTTATGCAACATGACTGTATTGAGCGACAGTTCTCTTTTTCTTCTCTACTTTTTTATTGGTCCAAAATGTCACTTAAATCGATGCAGAAAAACAATTGAAAATCAGAAGAAATCAAGAGAAAATCTTAAAAATCAGCTCCTGAAATCAGGAGAATTTTCATCAGGAGAAAAGTCTGAAAATCAAGAGTCTCCTGGTCAGATCAGGAGATTCGGGCACTCTGGTCTGGACGTAGAACTATTAACTAATACAGATGAAAAAGTGATTTTGAGAGAAACGGCACGGGAAAAAGATGTCGTATTTCAGAGAGAAGACGATAAGTTCACGAGGAACTGTCATCCTAATAAGACGATAAGCTCACGAGGAACTGCGGCCGGCCAACATGCACGTTGTTCCATATTCAATATTCGCATTCGGTGTTCTAGTTCTGTTTCTTGTGCTCGCGACACACGTTTTCGTTCGCGATCTTCCTGTGTACGTTTCTCATATTGATCATCGTCTTCATTTTGACGCGAGATACCCATATGTTTTCGATTTTGTTCTGTACGTTTTGCATATTGATCATCGTCTTCGTTTTCCCGTGACAAACGCATTCGTTCACGATGTTCGTCTTGCCGACTTTGGTTCCATGCTAGTGTTTGTATATCTGATGTTGTCTGTTGCTAAAATGTGCGATTGCTTGGTGGGAGTGTAAATTGTGGAATACGAACCGACTTTTGTTGATTATTTTGTTTGTATTTTTTTCAGGTGTCTGGAAAAGAGAAACAGATGACTAAGAATACCATGGAAGTTTGTTATTCATGCTTACTTTATTTTCAAATTGTTGGTGAGTAGTGCTGGGAGTGATTAGAATGCTTGAAGTTGTAGCGAATGTATTGTTAAGAGATGGTTGAAGAACTAGCGGTACAAAATGATCCGGAATCCAGTTGCCATTACTTTTCTTTCCTGCTTCTTGTTCATTCAGCTTGTGACTCCACATGATAATGATTTTGGTTGATGGTGGCGAATGATAATACATAGGGATCATTGTTGTGTTACACACATCGAAATATGGATGATATTGAATTCTAGGATAAACACTTTGTATTTGACATTGAAGAATGTTAGAAAGGGCATCGATTTCGAACAGTTCGGAAAATTCAAAATTCTTGCACATTGTGTTGATACGTAAATTTAACGGACCAACAATTCTTTCATATTTAATGTTGTAATAATTGTAATTCTTTATTTGTATCATTAATCTTTAGATGCGTGTTGCGATGGTGAGAATCTGATTCTCTGCGTGATATGCCGTAGAAAGCTGTAAATTTTTTAACAACTTCTTAAATTTTTCGGAACGGGAAAAACCACGACATTTGGTACAGACTTCGGCGTTTGTGACCAAACCGCATAAGGCACAGGACATTTCCATTGTAAAACTTCAAATCTCAATGATGATCAGTATAATTTTTTTTTTGAATGCATTAATTTTTTTCAAAAAGGTAATCAAAATGATACTAACATCAGCCGAATACGTGCCAAGTTCACGAAAGAAATAGGTTTCTTATGTGAACCATCGAAATAACACTCACATTCCCAATGATTATTCACTCAAATGGAGTTGGATTTATAAAAAGGTTAGCATACCATTAAAAGGCTGTGTACTCAATCATTGCTGGAAAGCACAGGATAAATTTTTCAATTTCAATTTACTATTCGAAAATTATGTACTGCTAACAGCTATATAATTAAGTATATTTAATAGACATCTAGCATATGTCGCATCTTCTTCTTTTATTTCATCTTTTTGATCTATTTGCTGTGATGTATCTATTGTAGTAGCTTTCAACAGTGTGATCAATAGTTCGTTTCACTATTTTAGCTGAAGTTCGCACTAAGGATGGTTTTAAACAAGGAAATTTCATCGCTAATGACGCACGAACAAAAAAAAGCTAGCCTATAATGATATTTCATTAAAGACAGTGATATTCGATTAAACAGAAAAAAATAACAGAATAGAAAAATGTAACAGTCACTCGATTCTATACTACATATTTTTCTATGTTTTTCTAGTATTTTCGTTCTCCGTTGTTTCAACTAGTATATATAATCATCTCTCTCCTAAATCCACAGTGATATTAGCCTGATGATGATACTGTGAAGCATCGAAAGCTCGCTTTTTATATAAAATGATTTTACAAAAATGTTTTTCAATTATATTAGACATCTAGCGCATACCGTATCTTCTTCTTGTATTTCATTTTCTTGATCTGTTTAGTCATCGATGTAGCAAAAATTCATTTTTCTACACGTTGATGTTAGCATTAATCTGTTATCTTTTATTAAATGCAAAATCTGATCGCTTATTAACAAAAACAGGTATTTATACTATGCCAACGATGAATTCTGTAATTTCGTAGCTTAAGTTTGTATCAGGTACCTCAAAAATAAAAAATTTTTACTTTTTTATCTCGTAAGGATGGTTTTGAACATGCTACCAAAGGTAAGTGTGATTCTGATACAAACAGTGGAAGAGGCAATGAAAATGGTATCGATTTAAATCGAGAGTCAATTTGATAGTTTACTAACGGATTTATTTAGTAATAGACAGCCGGAAACTATTGCAGTTATGAATCGATTTAGATGCCCATGAAAAAATTGTAAATGTTGGCTATTTATCGGCAACAACGAATGGAAGTAAAACATGGATATTTCAAATGGATCATACATATCTTTTAACAATTGAATTATTCGATGTCAATGGTAGAAGAATATATTCGGCTGATAACTTAAATTTACAAATAAATATTTCTAAAGAACAACCCAAAACATGTCTAATATTAAAATCTTTATACAAAAAATGAAACGCAATATGTGACAAGACCGCATTGAGTTGGAAGATTTCATTCACAAATATCAAAGAACACAAAAAGAATGAAGAGTTCATGCTATTTTCCATCTTGACTCCGCACCATGACGCTCGATCCATTTATTCCTTTAATGGTTGTTTTGTAGATCTGCAATTACAAATGTAGTTCATCAGTTAGTCAATCAACCAATTTAGTTTAACTCAAGTTATGCTTTAAAGAATCAAAGAACTACTTACGGCATTTATATGCTTGTTCAGCAATGCCACACTTGGAAAAATTATCCCACATTTGCACTTTTCGTTAAACTTCATTTCTAAAGAGAAAAATGAGAATAAAGAGGTGATTTGATTCAATATAACCACAAAACTTTTACCGTCGCCTTTGTTTATTCTTGAATGTTTCTTTATTACTTCACTTGCTTTTTGAAGCTGTTCGTCCTAGGCATGTGACAGTTCAAGTTCAACAGTTCATGTGAACTGAATCGAAGAACTGGGTTCCCAGTTCAAGCTCAAATGAACTGAACTGGTCACCAGCTCCAGTTCGTTTGAACTGGAGATGGCCACCGGTTCAATTCATTTGAATTGGAACTCAGCGGTTTGCATGAGAACTCTCATTTAAGGCACTGATACCCAATGTTCAGAGCAATATCTACATGCGTTGAAATATACAAAACAAAAAAAGAATAATATGTACCTGAGAAGCGCTTCAAGGTTTTCTGTCGCATTGCACTTCGCATGTCGATGATTCTCTCTTTAGCTAATAATCGGAATATGATTTTTTTTGTTATCATTAGAATAGTGCGGGTGGGTTATTAGTTATAGTTAGTATTAGTACTAGGGGTGGCGCATTTTCTTTACTGATGCGTTACTTTACTGAGTAAAGCAACGCTTTCAAATATCACCGTATGAGTGACGAACAACCGAAAATGTATTGTTTTATCACCTTCCGGACACAATGC